CGCAGAACCACGTCGAGCTCTCCCGGTCCCCACGGGTAGACGTGCCCGCCGCACTTCCCGAACCCGCAGACGCACCGCGCGAACTCATCCGAGCGCAGGCACTTTGTGTGCAGGTCGCAGCCCGGGCACGGGTCGCCACACGCGTCTCGGAAGGTGTGGATGTCACCGTCAACGCCATACATGCAGCGGACGCCGGTGTAGCCGCCCGGTCGCAGCACTACGCCGGCGCCCAAGTTGAAGATTGGGATCGGTAGGTGGTTGCGCCTCATCGGTAGCCCAATGATGGACCCAGAGATGCGACGGTCCTGAAAACTCTCCCCGTCTCGGCAGTAGGAGGGCCACGTACGGTCCACCTCCTCCCGCGCCAGAGGCTTCGGGCACGGGCTCCACGGTAGGGCCGAGCTAAAGCGGCCGTCAAACTGCGTCAGCACCACCCCGGCGTTCTCCAGCTGCCAGCTCGCATTCCGCCGCTGCGCGCCCGTGAACCGAGCGTTGAGCAAGGCGGCGCTGCCGCGCCACAGCCTCTCGGGCGGCACATTTGGCGGCGGCGGCGGCGGCGGCTCGGGCGGCGGCGGCGGCGGCGGCTGGGCCGGAAAGGGACACTCCCACCGCTCTGACGCAGCCCGGCACGTACTGCTGCCCTGCCACGTGCACGTGGAAGCAGTATGGGCACACTTGCTGGTTGATCGGGTTTGCACGCGAGTCGGCCCGGTCCTCCACATAGGAGACCCGATCGATGCCGTTCTTAAGGATCCAGCCGCGGCGATCTTTGCCCTCGAAGTCGTAGGCCGAGTCAAGCCCAGGGTAGGGCGCCCGTGGGTGTTTCTGGTAGATTGGCCGAAGCGCCATCCCCTCGTACGGAGGAAGGCCGTCCACGATACTGTGAAAGGCATGGCTCATGTTCTTACCGTAGTTGGTGTCTTTCATGTTGTTGAGGTACCTACGGACCTCCTCCTTACCAACCACCTCGCCGTTGACGTAGAAATGCTCCTTGCCGAGCGACAGCGCGTAGTCTCGGACGTGCGTGCAGAAGTAGGCGACGAAGGCGGACGTCACGTGCGGCACCGCGTCTAACCGGAAGCCGTCCACGTCGAACTCGGCAATCCACCACTTGAGTAGGTTGGTAAAGATGACCATGAAGTCAGGGTTGTTGGTGTTAAAGTTTAACATCGAGATTTTGTTGCTTTCAGACGAGCAGCGGGCGGCCTTTGGCAGCCGCTCCTGGCAGGAGTTGTCGACCTCGGCAAAGTTGCCGAAGAAGAAGTCGCCGAAGCGGTACCCTGGGTGACCCACCTCGGAGCGCCGGTCCAGGTCAAAGGCGCCGCAGCGGTGGTAGAAGCGGTCGTCTTTGAGCGGCTTGAAGTAGTCGTCTCCAAAGTGGATGGTGCCAGCATCTTTCTCGTCGAAGGGCGCGCCATGCTCGTCCGCGTCACGCCGCGCGTACTGGCAGCGCTCGCGTTCTGCGTTTGTCCCGTTGCCCGGCCACATCTGTGTCGACTTGCCGCTGCTGGGCCCACACATGTGGTTGATGACGACGTCGAACACGAGCCACATTCCCCGCGCATGCACCTCATGCACGAGCTCGCGAAAGTCATCCATGCTGCCAAAGTTTACGTCTGGTCGCGTGAAATCTGCCACGCAGTAGCCATGGTAACCGCCGTTATGCGAAAACGGAGGAGAGATGAAGACGACCTCGACACCGAGCGAGGCGATGTAGTCGAGCCGTTGGATGATCCCTCGAAAGTCGCCGCCGTGCACCCAGCTCGGCAAGCCGGCCTGCATCGCCGTCTCCTGGTACTTTGCCTGCGAGTTGCCGAACTCCTCGATGTTAAGGCGGTCATTGGAGAAGTTGCCATTGTTGAAGCGATCGATGATCATCTGGTAAAGGCTCACGCCCTCCCACGAATCT